ATGAAGGATTAAGAAACTTAAATAGTTTTTTTGCTTCATATTTGTTAATTCAGTTTTAAAACCATCTACAAGAAACTATTAATCAAATTAATAATATATTAAATTTTGTGTATCTTATTTTGATAATGGTCTAATAATATAATTATCAAATAGATTATATGATGATGATTGTATAATAAGTTTTTGTGATAAATTAAAAAATGATGATTTTGAAGATGTAGATAAAGTATCGCAAGAAAAATCAAATTATGAATCTATAAAAAAATAATATTAAATAATAGTTTTATATAATAAAAATTAAAAAAAATCAATAAAATTTTTACATGATAATTTATTTTCAAATTGTAAATCATTATTGCATTTTGATAATAAAACAATTTTATTTCTTATTTCAAGTGTTATTTTTGTAATAAAACTTATACATTTTTTTAAATGTAATAATATTCTATTTATTTTATTAGGAAAAAAAATTTTTTTTCCTTCTTCACCTAATACTTCAATATAATATTTATAATAAATTTTAAGATTACTTAAATTTTTTTCTTTTATCTTAATAATATATTTATCTAAAACTGTTGGTAAAATAGGCATTTTAAAATTCAAAATAATTGTAATTTTAAAAGATAAAAATCAAAAGAAAATTTGAGAATAAATTTTTATAAAATCTAATCTATAAATTTATCTAATTTATAAAAAAATAAGAATTGATTTGAAATTAAAATTTTATCTCAATAAGCTAGAACATTATGTGATACAGATATTGATCCCAAAATATCCTATGTCCAAATCTATATAATGGACTTTATTCCATGTACATCAATGCCCCAGGGTATTAGGATAATAAGCTATACCTGGGGTATAAGTTACTGATCCCCTTTTATTATAAAGTCACATGAAATGTCACGTGAAATGTCAATGTAAATCACGTGATATATATAATATTAATTTCGGACTAATGTCGATTATCATCATATCAAAAAAGAAAATACTGACAGATTTCATATTCCAAATCGATCATTTTTACAAGAGCCTCGCTATCAACGTTGAGAACAAAGTGAACTTTCTGTTTTCCGTTCAATATAAAAACTTTTGGATGAAAATTAAAATACTGAGCTCTTGAACTTCAATATTACTAATATTATTAAACCATTTCACTAGCTGAAATTACTAAAACAAGCCTTATACACTGTAACTTTTCAAAAATAGGTTGTTCCTTATCAAATGGCGATGAAAAATTTTAAATTTAGTAATCACATACCCCATATTGGCTAACTACCCAAATTGACGATCGCAGTCTCAAAGATTATAAAGTCAGTTCCTTAGTATTATAGTCAATTGTTTAATTTGAATTATTTTGCAGATGAAAGATTTACTATTATCAATAAAATATACCTGAGATTATTTTCGAGAAGTGAAATCATTTAAAGAGATAAATAAACTTATTCAAAGATTCAAAAAATATGCTACAAATCAAAAATTAATTTTTGCTTCCGTGATATATTAGGAAAATTTGGAAAATTTGAAAAGATTTGCATTTTTGCTAGCCAATAAAATTGCGAACAAACAGATCGCTACGATCTGTTTTTAATCGTTTATTTATAACTTTCACGTATGTTGTGTACGGCTGTTAATCATCATTTACATTTTTGGTTATACAGTAGTTCATTTAAAAACAAAACTTTATTTAAAATAAAGGAAAAAAAAAAATAAAAACATAGAATAATAATGAAATTATTAAAAAAAAAAGGATATTAAATTTTTTTTACATAATAGAATTAAACATAAAATATTTTGTTATAGGCGGAAATTTTTTTTTTTGAGGGTATGTGAAAATGTCATTGGGGTTTATATGATATGACGGAAACATAAGAAATCCGCTTTTTTTTTGGAATTCTTGGGTTTTCATATTATGAACATAAGAAATTTGTTTTTTTTTTGAATCCTCGGGGTTTCATATTATCAGGGACGATAACATAAGACATTTTTTTTTTTTAAAAAAAAAAGGACGAAAAGTTAATCCTTATGAAATTTTTTTTTTTTTTTTTTTTATATGAAAACGCTCATATTACGAATAGCGAGAACGAGAACGAAACGGAAAAATAAAACATAATCTTTTGTTTTTATTAATTTTTCATGTTTGATCATAAGGGTGGTGGAAGAAAATAAAGATATAAAGATTCATTTTATAAAAATTTTGGTTGTACAAAAAGGGCACCTCTAAGTAAACGGTGACAAATCATATTTTGTTTCATGATTTATTTTAATAATATCTATTTCTGATGCGATATTTTGTTTCAAGTGATAAAGTTCATTTATTGTCTCGATTCGGAAAATATTAGTCCGATAAGAAAAAGGAAATTCATTTCATCTATTTATTGCTGCACTTCTTTTGTGTTTCATGAGAAATTTACTGATTTATTTTGTTCAACATATTTTGCTTATTTTCGTGACTTTCGTGAGAGATAAATGAATAATGTCCTAAACTTTAATGTTTCATTAACTTATTTTCGTACCATTCATAAACAAGAATCATACGAAAATTTTTTTTGTACAAGTTTCTTCTGAGATTAGAATCCTCTATTCCTTATACAGTAAAAATGTATCAATTTATTTTTTTTTCGCGTCTTCCGAACGAATAGAAAGAATAATTATATAATTTTTTTTTTAAGGGTTCTATTCCTTATACAGAAATTACATTTCCCCAATATAAATTGTAATTATAATAATTATAAATATTTGAAATATATACTTATCTTTTAAGGCTCATTAATGATAGAATTCGCCAATAAAAATTTGTAATTTAACTTTAATACAAATGTAGCAAATCATTTATTATTTGCATAAACACGAAAACTTTTTTGATTCATTAATATAAATTTAATTTTTGTGCAAATTTAACAGGTTTGTTGAGTGCTCGCAAATTTCGTGAAAAATTAATTCTATTCCTAATATCGATATATAATAATGTTTTAAAATGTTCGCTTTAAAGTAACCAAATTTCTAATCTTTATATAACGATAACGATAAAGGTGCAACATAATATTTCATTTAAATATTTTCAAACAGTAAATTATCACTCCGAAAACAAATTTATACATCTAATGTAGTAATTTCATTTTTAAGTATTACATATCTTTTTTTTAAGGTTTATGAATATCAATTACAACATGCAGAAAATTATCGTATCGATGTTGAGTGAACTTATTTTTACATGTATATGTATAATACAACAAAAATAAAAAAAATTTTTTCTTCATATTGTTTTACAAATTCGATTGAATCTTATATGTTTTTAATTTTCGAGTCGATTTTCTTGAACCGTTATCATAAAGAATAGCGTAACAGTTTATATTCTTGATATCTACTGTATTTTGTCCGAATATTGCTATAGATTGATCTACAAATGCACTAAAATATGTTTCCGAAAAATCTTATCTAATTTTGTCATCATTAATAGGGATAATAATTATTTATTTAAAGTTTCACGAATAAAAAATTCAAACGTTTCAATACAGAGGGATACAAAATACAAACAAATCCGCGTCTTTCAAATGAGACATGGATAACAGATTTAATTAAAAATCCAAATAGTTACGATTGATTATTTTTAGTTTGTGATGCAAGCTTGTCGATCACTTTCAGGAAATGATTTTTTTTAAAAAATCTGCTCTTTGGAGTTAAGGGAAAGGTGATACAAGGAAAAGTCGTGATTTTAATTGAATATTAGCTCTTTCTTTTCATAAAAGGCCCATTTCAAATTCAAATTAGATTTTATATTCAAATTATAGGATTTGGCTTTAAAAATAGTATATTTGAATATTCGTTTGCAAAAAAAAAATAAAGATTGAATATTCAAATCAAATGTTTTTGAGTTTGAAGAACATGTGGACGAAGCCAGAGTAGTCTCCAATTTCACAAAACTGATTAAAAAGGTGGAATGAGGACTACCAAGAGTCTCTATTACTCTGCTTTTTAAAAACGTCACATCAGTCCGGATGAAATTTGCCTGGTAATGCATTATTGATGATCTAAACAATACAAAAATACCTCATAATCTTAATTCATTTGGTTGTAAATATTTAAGGATTGCTTCTCTCACTTTTTTTTTTACACTCTGAAATAAAAAAATCTAAAAGACATGATAAACTAATTTTTTTTTATTTTTATTTTAACTTCAAATCAAATAATCAATTGATTCCGATAAAGTAAACATGAACGTTACCGCTTCGTCGAGGCGCCAGAAAATTCCAGCCAAAATCCTAGTATGGATCGAAAAGGCATATTTTTTTTTTTTTTAATTTAATAATTTTGTGCAAAGTACATGTTAGAGGGATCTTTGTGCAAAATATGTTTTAGATAATTTTGAGCAAAAAATGTTTAGGGGGAAGAATGGTTATTCATCTTTGGTGTCGAAATATCCCCGTGAATCGGAACGATAATTAAATGTGTAATAACACATTCTTTATTTATCTTGGAGCGAGTCTTCAGGAGGTGAGTATCTGTATTTCATTTGTCTCTGTTGAATCCCAAAGGTTCTCATGACTTTAATTTCCAAAGTTCGATAATATATTTTTGGGGGAGCTTAATAGTAGAGCGTTTGGTAAAAATCATTTCGGCTTGGCTACCTTGAACCCACAACGGATGATTCTTCAAACCTCTAATCTCAGAGGATGATCCTTTACGCTTGATGTTCTCTCTAGCAGATTAATAACTACCGAACCAGATTTAAATGTCAAACTCTTCCAAGAGTCATAATTAAAAAAAGCATTCAAAAGTAAGGAATTGTGGATTCATTAGTTTCTTGAAGTACTAAAATCTATGCTTCATAATTTGGAAGTTAACCATCAAAGTACGGCACATTCAAATGTTTGAATGCCTCTCTCAAATTCACCTGTACTGGCAGATAATAATGACAATTTCAATAAAATGTAATTAAAGTATTGTATTTTGTATACGAACTTTCTCAATCGGTATAAAAAAATAAATGTCATACCAAAATTCTAACATCTGCTCAAGAGGCGCGCCAATAATACTAGGTACATAATTTTATGACCTGATGTATCCGCCTGCTTTTTCATTTCTAGTTCTTTTTGCTCCGCATATTTTGTTTCAAAATTAGCACGTCCACTTTCTACCGTTTTTCCTGTAAAGATAAAAGTCAATTGGAAATTATAATAAATAATACGAAAAGATTCAATATAAGTAAAAAAATACTTTTGAATGTTCTTCCTTATTTGTATTAAGCACCCATGATAAATAAATACCATTTCTCCCATCTTTAGAGCAATTTGAATAATTTAATGGAACAATCAAATTTTTTAAAGTAAACTTAATAGGAAAATTATTAAGGATTGATATTTGAATATAACGAAAATTTTTATGAGGAAAAAATGAAGCGGCTAAGTCTGGTAAGATAAGGTTGATTCTGTTGAGATTTGCGTTTAAAGAGGCTTCGAGAGTTGAGTTCATGTCGGTGGTCGTTGGGGTCACTTATGATAACAATTGTTGATCTCTTCTAATATGGTACCTCTCAATGATTGAGTGAAGCTGTTGTTCATCAATAGAAGAATCATTAGGCGATGATTCTGTTGTCTTTAGTTGATCGAAGGAAAATATCTTCCAAATCTAATATATGCTTTCCTAGGATGGTTTCGCGTCTGGTAGAAGATTATATGGTCGCCAGTTTATGCCTACTAGGATTGTAGTAGTCGACCAAATACTTGGTTATTAATAGCATTAGTAGGGATGACAGATGATCCAAAACTTTCCTACTCCTAAATGTAGAAAGGCTTATAATAGTTTCATTAGCACCAGAGGTTATGGAAACAGTGATTAATTCAAAGTCAAGTCTAATATGAGCATTTCTAAACCAATCTGTTTCTAAAAATTAAAGTTTTATTCCGAGAATAGATAACCCGTTTACGTACACCCGAAGCTATCATAATTATTCCAGTGAGAGAGATGTCATCAATCCAAATTCCAATGTCTTTATAAAGGTTGAATTAACTTTTTTAATCTTAAAAAGAAACAAAATAAATGAATCGAAAGAAAATCACTGTACTGTGTACCCTATTTCGAAAGGTTGAATTTTGATGTCGGTTAATTTTTCGAGGGAGATAAAAGCCTTGACTTTGTAAGTTACTTTAGTCGGATCGGTTTCATCCATCTTAACGATTTCGGGTAAAATTAATTATAAATAACCTATTCATTCTTAAAAATTGAAAATTGAAAAAAATTGAACATTTTGAAAAACTTACGTTTGTGATCCAATATTTTGAGCTAACAATGTCGGTGTATT